AAAACTATATCAAAGCTTATAAAAATGGCGAAACTATATCAAACACTTAGTAAAAATTTAGCGAAACTAAAGGTTTTGCCAAATCCAAAATGAGTTTAGACAAGCAACCTTAGTGTTACATCTTTATGCATATATAAATCACGAATAAAACTTGAAGTATTAGGTATACCTAAAGAAGGTGTTAAAAAATGTTGAAGCCAAATTAATGCTTTTTGTTTAAATTCCATTGGATCAGTTTTAGAATTTTGCATTAATTTATATAATTCCAAAAAGAGTTCCATAAATTTCGAATTTGTTGTGCTCTTGATGATCGAAAAACTTATTAAAGTTAAAATATTGAAGAACTTTTAGCTTATCCAGTCCCATTAAAGATGTGTATTGCCAAGTTTTTATTTCATAATTTTCATAAAAATGAAAATTAACTTCAATATGCTTCATTTCTTCCATAATAAGTTTTCATATATAATCATTTCATTTATTCATTTCTTTAAATTCTTGAATTACAAGTGCCCAAAGACGATCTGTAATTCGAAGCATTATATGTAATTCATCAACTACCCAATTTTTAATAGGAATCATGTCAAATAAAGGTTATTTAATATGACCAAAATAACAAGTAAAATCCTCTTTTAAATTTTCCATATCTTTTGTTATATTCCAGCATTTTGAAAGATCACCTTGATCATTTTGTATTACTGTATACCAAGGACATAAATAATTTGAATTTGCGTAATTGAATCCTAAACAAATTGCTAAAAATTTCCAATCAGAACTAAAATATAATTTAATAGTCCAAATAATTCCAGTTTGATCTTGAAATCCATATTCTTTTAAATACTGAAGTTCTTTAAGTATTGGATCCAAAACTGTTTGTAATATAATATAATTTTCAATACCAGGATAAAGAGCTATTGTATAATGAAAATTGGGTTTCATTAAAAAATCTTTATCATTTATAATTGTACAAGTAATCATAACATGTTTGACTTATCGTCTTACGTTATATCTATCATCTGATATACAAAGATGAATAGTTGGATTATTAGAATCCAAAATATCACGTTCTATTAAAATAGGAATTAAATATTATAGTATTTTTATAACACTTCGTTGTTTACCATTTCCAATTAACTTATGTACTATTTAGATTACTTCAGGATCAGTTATAGTTAATGTATTTTCAAAAGATTCAGAAAAATAATTATTATTTAATTTAACAACAGAAATTGGAATTTTTTTTTGCATTTCTTTATTAATTACTGCTTTTTCTTCTGACATTGCCCATTCTCTGATAAGACCATTAGATAGAGTTGTGATTGTTCAATAACTATCTCAGGATATTTGTCCTTGATCAATAGCTTTAACTGTAAGAGCACACTTTAATTTGATTTCTTTTTTATCTACTTCACCAAAATCAATTTGATAAGAATCTTTTTGAATGCCAACAGTAAAAGTCATTGAATTTAAAGTCAATTTATCTTCAGGATTGTAACAATAATTACTAAGATCTTCAAAAGCCGATCTAGTACATTTCACAAGATGTCGGGCCCTTTCATTTCTAGTTTTTTCTGTTATATTTTCATAAGCCTTTAATTTTTTAATTCTTTTTTCGCGAGAAGTTTTTAGAACTTGGAGTTGCACACCAAATAATAATGTACCTGATATTAAAGAATTGTTATCAGGATGAAGTATCTACAAAAAAATATTGGAATTTGAATTTTTTATTAATATTAAAAAATTCAAAATCAATAATCCTAATTGACTATATTGAAAAAAAAAATATTTATATGCTTACCTTTTGCACTTGTGTTGCTCCGTTTGTACATGATTGTGTTGTTTTTAATATTTGGTCAAAATTATCACCATAGTATATTATAACTGTATAATTAAAGGTTCGTCCTTCTTCTTTATATATTATATGCGATTCATTGTGATATGAGTGAATTTCTGTTGGCGGTTTTCGTGGCTTAGACATAATGCGTTACAAAAAATCAGAATGTCAATGGAATTGACTGTGTTTACTTTATTTTAATTATTATTGGTCAGTATTGTTTGTCAATCAACTAACACACTATATCCTGGTTGTTACTAAAATTTTAGGTATGTTGCCGATCCGCCGACATGTTTATAATTAAATAACCAATTAAACTTTAAGCCGACTCAGAAAACCAATAACTCGTGAAATTCCAGCAAAACATAGTTTTTGTCTACAGTAACGACTGACGAACATCTGCTTTTAGAAATGTAATATTTTAGAAACTCCGAACACGAAAATCTCATTTTAAATGTAATTAATAATGATAACCAATGAGAGGACAGCTATGTATGTTGATCAAAAATCTTATTGTGTAACCATCGTGTTAGCCCCCCACCCCCTCGATATTAGAAAGGTAAATAATTAACAAATAAAATTTTCTGATAAAATATTTTTTAAATTAAAAATTATAATATAAAAGCAATTTTATTAAAAATATTTAAAGGTATTAAATAAGTTATAAGCTTGTCACTTTTAAATATAGTTGCCTGACGAAACCTATTTTGGATTTGTCGAAACGTCTAAATCTCTAGTTTTGATAAGTTTTTAATAATTCCATAATATAGTTTCGACAGTTTGATATAGCTTGGGAGGTTTCGACGGGTTTCGACAAGTTTCGACAGGTTAGTTTATATGATTTTATTAAGGGTTTGACATTTTCGACATTCGACAGTCTGTCTAAACCCAGGAGTTTCGTCAGGCAACTATACCTTTAAAGTTTTAGATAATATCGATATGGGACGGACCTTTGCAAAAAAAAGGGAGTATACATTCATTATAATAAATTTATGAAAAGGATTATGTTACATTGATTGAAGTGAATTGTTCGTATGGGTAATGGTATCATGCAATGCATATTTTTCTTGCCTTAAATTAAGCATACAGATTCACGACTTAAATGATATGTTGGAAATTTACTTTAAATGCTATATGAATAAAAAAAATAAAAAATTGTCAGAACGGGTCAAGCAAAATCGTGACCCTATTAAGAAAATTAGGACTCGTGACATAAAATGATAGTCCTGACTTGTCGAGTCTGGTCAAATGACCCGGGCACTACACGTGTTATATAATGTATCACGTGCTATTGTCAATAATTTGCAGTATTTTGAAATCACTATAAATCACTTCTCTGGATCTCGATTTACGATATACATAAGTAAAATTTATTTTAATAAAAACTACGCAAAAACAAGTAAAAAAAACATATCGATATCGATATATATTCCGAAAAGTAAAGCAAGTATAAATATATAAATTAAATAGTTTGATTATCTTACAGAGAAATAGAAGATCAATAATTATGTGTTACGTTTTGTTTAAGTGCTTTAAATAAACTGCATTATTCATATCATTATCATTCGGTTTTTTCATTCCAGATTCATATTAGGTGCCAAATAATCTTCAAGGGATCGTCTCAAGTGAAATTCAAGATTATATTTATGATCATTAGTAAATTCCAAGGGTTGTTGTTGCTGCTGATCACTTTGACTCAATTCTAGTCCACAAACGTTCGAATTTAAATGCTGAACTATAGTCGAATGAGAAATCATTTCACAAGCAACATGATAAATTTTTAGATCATAAGGATGTTTAAAATAAAATACGAAAATTTTGTTTGAATAAAGATAATTATAAGAAGAGTAGAAGTAATTATTTAGCAACTCTACTGTAAGTTCATTTAAAGTTATTTCTTTACAATAAACAAGATAAATTTGAAAATCGTTATTTGGCCTGTAATAAAATAACTTTTCTTGAGGCAAAAAGGTGCTTTCACTGAAAGCTGAAACGTATTGTGAATCATTAACATTTGATGAACCGTTGCCACCTTGAGTATTATGTGAGCTTGACATTAAGAAAAGTTAAAATTAACTGTGGTGTGTTATTGTCTTATTTTGCTGTGCCACAAAAATTCAAGCACGATCAAAAATAATTTGGGATGTGGGAGTAACGTCGATCTATATAATAAAATCCTACAGTTGTGGATATGGTTGAGTGGTTTAATCTTTTTAAAAAAAATAATTATTTTGTTAAATTCTATCTGGTATTTATCATTTTATACCTTTTTTTTTTTTTTTTTTTTTGTTTTAGCTATTCTTTTATTTTTGCTTGTTAACGTTTTGCTTGTAAACAAAATATCCTATTAAGTTGTGAAACAATACAATAGTGATCTGCAGAGATTTTTATTAGTACGGAGCGTTAGCGAAGGACTATATATGTCTACGCGCTGTGTCCTGTTGTCCCCCCACTCCTCATATCATGAGACGGTTACACGGTTACACTAATTTCTAAATAAATTAGATAAATATCCATCCCAATAAAAGTCATATCTAATATCTAAAATAAATCTTTCAAATTTAAAAAAAAATTTATTTTATTACAATTTCGTGTACTTTCTTTTGTCAAATGGATCAATTTATCAATTATTATTATCGTTTAGAATAAATAAAACGAAATATAAACATAAACAATATAAAGTAACCCTTTCGTTCGTCTGAATTATTTTTTTTTGTTATTATTGAAGTGTTGTTGATGTAAATTTATCATTCATTTTCAAGGTATCATAGAAAGCAGACGCTCTTCCTCAACCTTTCTTTCCTGTAATCTTCTACAATTCTTATATGTTGAAGTCTGCGATTGATCATTTTTTAATTCCACCCATGATCACGTGTAACTTGTGAGAAGCTCCGGACTTAACAACGGTTCCCGTTTCCCTAGTGTAATACAGTATTTACGACATTTTTTATTAAGTAGACTGTGTAACTTGAATATTTTTTTTATATTCCTGACTATTTATTTATCACTCCATCATTTTTAGTGTATATTACTAGAAAGGTAGAGTAAATAAAATTTACTGTTAAAATTTTTTTAAATTAAAAATTATACAATCGCAATTTTTTTAAAATATTTATAAATATTATAATATTTTTGTACAGATGTCCTTTGAAATATTTGCTTGTCACTTTAAAGTTTTAGATAATATGGGTGGACCTTTCAATAAAAGAAAGGGATTATACATGCATTCAGTAATCTGAAAAGATTGCGTTACATTGATTGGGCTGATTGATTGGGCTGATAATGGTATCATGCAATGCATATTTTGCATATTTTTCATATTTTTCTTGCATACAGATGCCCAAATTAAGTGATATAGTTGGAAATGCAAGAGATTTTTACTTTAAATGTGTATGAATAAAAAATAAGAACGACGAACAGTAAAAAAGATCTCCCGGCTACAGATTTGTTATAAAAAAGGAATGTTGGATATGGATATTCGGGTACACAATAAGTTTGAAGATCAAATAAGTTTCTATGCTAATTATACATAAATAAATTGTCAAAAAAAAAATTCAATTTTTTTTAGGAATGAGGAAATTAAATTGTTGATATTAACGATATTAACGTTTATGGAATGCACAAATCGGTCAAATAATCTTTGAATTATTTATTTAAAGAGATAGAATTTTGACATCTGAAAAGTTATTTAAAGGCCGAATTTTTATCTACACGGTTCAATGCTGTTCGCGTAATTATCAGTCATTACTTTATTTATTAATTAGATAATTAAGTTAATTTTATAAAAAATGGCAACTTTAAATTCAAATATCTTTTCAACAAAGTAATAATTCTGGCACATCCAGTTCAAATTTTAGAAAATATTTACATTGTGGAATTGAAGGAAGCTACGCTGAATGGTGTAAAGTTTGCGAATTCAAAGCAATTTTAAAATTTGGACAATTGATTACTTATATTAAAAATACATTATACGTACCCAATTAAACACAAATAAGAGCGATTTTGAATATTTTGACCATCGTTAGTATCTGAAAAGTCAGAAAGGTCAGAATTGCCAAAAATGGCAGTCAATGGTGCAATCTAGTTAATTAGGCGCAGTAAAGTTCATTCTTTTTAAATTATTCGTTCACGTGTTTAGTGCTCCGTAAGGTCGGGTCGGTTTGGGTTTGAAGTATATTCGAACTCGAACCCGTTAATATTTACAGGATTCGAATTCGACACTATTGTTCAACTCGACCGATTATTTCTAAACTCGAATTCGACTCGAATTTTAGTGGTAATATTAATACCGAAGTAAAAAAAAATATTATTATTGCCATCAGGAATTTAAATACATACAAGCGCGAATTGTTTTGGCTCATTCAATCTAAACTCATTCACAGGATCTCTTGCTTTATTAAATATTTCATTTTTATTTTAATGATGCTTTCTAAAGATTTGTTATTTGTCCTACAAATTTTTTTAAAAGAAATAATAATAACCTGTAATATACACAATTATACTCTATTAAAAATACATACCTGTCAATTAAGACATTTAACTTCTCGATTGTTTTTTTGAATTTAATGTTCAGGTGGAAGAATACTTTCTTCAAAAAGTTCTTTGACAAAATGATCACTTCGCAATGCTTTTTCGAGAAGCTGTATTATCGGAATTAATATCTAAATTAAAGTTGCGTATAGCATTTATATCATTTAATCACATCACCTGATCATTCGGGTGCCCGGGTCAAGCAAAATCGTGACGCTCGAATTTTTTCTCGAGTCTGATCAAATGACTCAGAGCACTACACGTTTAGATAATGTATCAAGTGTTTAGATCGTATTTTGAAATAACTATAAATTAAACCTTGACCTCGATTGTTAGTTTGGTTAAAAAATAAATCTTTAATGTTTTGTTTACGATATACATAAAAAAAAAGTAAAAATCTTAATTTAATAAAAACTACGAAAATAACATATATATTCTGAAAATTCAAGCAAGTTTAAATATATAAATGCTATCTAAAATTAAATATTTTGATTATCTTGCTGAGAAATAAAAGTTTGGTTGAAGTATATTATTTAGCTTGTATTGCTCATATTATAAATTCGGTTTTTCATTCCTTAGGTGCTAAATCATTTACAAGGGATCGTCTCAAGTGAAATTCAAGGTTATATTTATGGTCACTAGTAAATTCCAAGGGTTGTTGTTGCTGCTGATCACTTTGACTCAATTCTAGTCCACAAACGTTCAAGTTTAAATGCTGAACTATAGCCGAATGAGAAATCATTTCACAAGCAACATGATAAATTTTTAGATCATAAGGATGTTTAAAATAAAACACGAAAATTTTGTTTGAATAAAGATAATTATAAGAAGAGTAGAAGTAATTGTTTAGCAACTCTACTGTAAGTTCATTTAAAGTTATTTCTTTACAATAAACAAGATAAATTTGAAAATCGTTGTTTGGCCTGTAATAAAATAACTTTTCTTGAGGCAATAAGGTACTCTCACTGGTAGCTGTAACGTCTTGTACAGCAATATCATTATTATCATTGCCATTTTGAGTATTATGTGTAAGTGAAGTAGACATTAAAATTCTCTAAAATGTCACAATTTTTTAAATAAAGTTTCACTCTAGATTTTAAATTCAATACTATGAAAATATAACGGGTTAAATTCTTATTGTTTCTTTGATATTAATTGTTGAGCAGATATAGTACTCGAACTCTTTCTTTATTATTCAAATTTTAGCCTTGGATCACTCACGAATAATTAACTTATTAAATGGTTTTAAATTTTATCAATATTCGAAATTTATGTTTCACTCAATATTTATATATTTTGCGTTAGAATTTTACATGGAGGGATCTCATGTCGTGTAACATAATAAATAATCGGTAAAAATTCATTGTACCTAAACATGTTTTATTTGATTCATAAGTTCAGGGAATAAAACCCGATATCATAATATCAAAGTTAGACTGTATGCAAATAAATAGATTTAGATGCCAATAGGAATTGATTACTGTTTCTCCGAGCATGTTAAACTTACTACAATTGAAAGCAAAGAATATGTTTTCATCGGATCGTATTTTCCGAAATGTTCTAAAAATATAGATGTCGATCATTTAATACATTTTCGTGTCAAATTCAACGGTTTAAAAACATTTGGTAAGTTAAATAATCTTTATAAATAAAAAAAATTACTATATAATTAAAAAATTAAATTTTGCTCAAGATTTATAAATATACAAAATTCGCGTGAAATACATCGATTTAGATTTTACAAAAATATCTATCAAAAAACATTCTTCCATTTCACGAACATGTCTGTTAAGATGCATACGAAGATCAATACTTTTACATAATGCATAGACGCGTAACATTTCTACTAATTTGAAATTTCTGCTTCAATTAAAATGTTAATTACTTTTTATTAAACGTTAAACTCATCTGTCAGCTTTATAATTCGTATAATATCTAATTTTTTTATTGGAAAAGAAAATAGGAATTGCAAAGACGTTATTACATAGATAGATTATACTTTCTGTTATCAAATAAGAGCCGATTTCTAATCATTTAACAACATCGAAAGATATTTTTAAATAAGTAATCTTTATAGTCTTCCTCCTATCTACTATATCACTATTATTTTTGATGCAATTTTTTTTCTTTTACTGCAAATAACTGCGAATAACGTGATTACCATATAACCGCTGGCACTTTTTTTTTGAGAAAATAATTTAATATATCCTGTAACTTGTTTAACTTGTACTTGTTTTCCTTTCTACCTGATTAATATTTCACAAAAAAAATTATTATATATAAATTTGAATTTTGTGTAACATACAGTAAAGGCGATCATGTATTTTGAACTATTGCGTGGTTAAAAGTATGCATTTACGTTTATGTATTTTAAAGTATAATTGTCAATTGATTACCATTCTTTATCACGTTAATGTGCTCCTTTTTTATTCTCATGCTTATTGAACCTGCTAAAAAATTTAAATATACTGTAATTATCATTCGTATTTAATAATTTTTTTTTTCAACTTTTTTTGTAGGAGACAAA